TATATATATATATATATATTATTTTACATGCTAGAGAATAGTACGCTAGGCACTTTTGTTTGAATAGTTATGGAAATAAAACTTACCAACGTAATCGAATTCCGTGTTGGGGAAAGCTGTTCGCGGGAAATTCAAAGGCAGTAAAAACGAGATTCTCGACGACGTGGAGATCGAACGAGAGAAGCTGTAGTTAACGCAAACGCAGGCGCAGCAAAATACAATACGAAAAGTACTTGGGGAAACTTTTATGAACCATATTTTCTACGTATCGTGGTGAAACATTTTGAAACGAATCCTGAAGGTATCTGCGCGCAGAAGTTACGAGTTATTCATTGCAATTCAATGCTTGTATATTCAATGAAATAGAGAGAAAGAAGAATTAACATCCATAATACGTGTAACAAGTGTTTAAAGATAATCCACTGGTAATTATGTACTCGTCGCGTGTGATCCCTGCGTGTTTCAAAATGTTTCGCAATACACTTATAAAAGGTGACTGCAAGTCTGGCAATGAACACTTTCACGAGCCCGCGTACAAGGGGACGAAGAGAAGAAAAGGAGAAATCGAAACGTGGGAGAAGGAGGTTGAAGCAGGTTGAAAACAGAACGGGGGCAAGGTGTCTGCGACGGAAGTGGAAAAGAAGATACGCGGCTCGACTCGAGAGAGGGAAAATCTTCCGCCGCAATCTTCACTCGATCCTTCCCCTCCAGAATTAACCCTCCATTTTCTCTACAACAGGATGATCGAGCATCGGTTCGGAGGAAATGAGTGGCAAAAAAAGGAGAGAGAGAGAAAAAAAAGGGGGGTGGAAGAAACGCGGGGCCTGAAGAGGGAAAAGAGAGCATAGAACACACACGCGGGTTTGTTGTGCTGTGGATTTACGTGTCCTTGATGCACACTTTGCAGCGACTTACTATGGACCTGAGGTAGCCTGCCTTCAAGGTCTGTTTCTCAGGCCTTTGGAACTGGCGCCCGTCCTCGATCACCGTCATCCAAAAGCTGATCTCGTTCGAGTAATAATGGCAGTGTTCTTCGTTGCATTCGATGAACGGCGTGGCGCGGAAGTCTTCCAGACAGGAACCGGAACTGGACAGAGACTGGCCACCACCCTGAGCACCGGCACCCGTGTGCTGCGAACACGCAGAGAGTATATATATTTCGCCATTTTTATCGGCATGGAATGACAGTAAAAGGTTCGAGAAGTTAAAAGAAAATTACCTAAGACTAAACTACCACTTTGCTCAGCCGAGTTAAAAAGTGTACAAAAGTAGACAATGTGTCCGGGAAGATTAGAAAGAGAAAGATATGAAAAGAAATTCTTTCAAGTCGTACTTTCTGTTTCTGTCGAATCGAATTTCTTGGTCTCTAATATGTCGAATGATTATTCGTTTACAACAGAAGATTAGGAGAGAGAGTATCTTTCTAAATTTGAAACGATACTAACAACTACTGATTTGATGTTTCTTTTCAATAATATTATCTCTTGCCCAATTCTACGTTATTCAAGATGGAGTTTTTCAATGAAGTGATCTAATTACCAGAGTCCAATCCAATTACTAGAATACGGTTACGTACACTAGATATTTAAGATGTTACGATTAACAACAAACCTAATTGAATCGTTACACAAACTCATTATAGATTCGGTTCTGAAGAAAATGTAATCAAATTGTAAAAATCATTTTTAGAAGGAAATGAACAGCGTACGTTGAAAGTGGAGGCCTCGGTCTTTAAAACGAACTTAGGTCTATCATTGTAACGAACGTTGTAACATAATGTGAGTAATTAGTTAATTCAACAATTTCAGAAAGTGTGTGAAAGAATTAGTTACTTAATCTCGCAATCCATGCCTCCAGTTGTACGTTATTTATGTATGTTTGTAAACTCCTCTTAACCTAATTAATTTATCTGTTTCCTGTATTATATCGTCTGCCCGTCAAAAAAATTAAATAAATGAAAAATCAATTCGTCGATTGATCTGTCAATTTCGGCGAGTACGGCCGATAGTGATAAATAAGTCCGTACCATGACGAAACTGTAACCAATCCAAAGTTCGGTCCAGCCTTGTGGACAGTCTGGAATGGACAATGATTGGCTATGCACGGCTATCACATTTGCTGGGACTTCGCAAACCACGCATCTGCAGGATGAAAGAAAAATTTCACTCGTTAATTGTCACCATGGTAGCACCACGTTTCACCGGTAGTTCGACAGTTTTGACTTAAACAAGTAATTAATTTGACTGTGTGTAATTAATTAATTTTTGTCACGCCATGCAGTATATCAGCGTAACATATGCATGTATGTGTGTTACATCGCATGTGGATCTGTTCGTAACAACTCTGTTGCACTAACTGGAAGGTAAATTATTAACAAGTGTACATTAACAATTTCATTTCGCGTATCTCTCTTTGTGTTTGTCCACGTGGAAACGTTCGTAACTTTATATATAAACTGAAACGTCACGGTCGCCATTGAAATTGCAACTGATTTAACGCACACGAAATAACATTTCGCTTTACTTAGTTTGGCACGATGATCGCTTCGGTGTCAAATTGAATAATAATGATTCAATTTCGTGTTAAAATTATTCGGTAGGCAACGTTCGCAAAAGTAAAACAGTGCGATTCATCGGTCCATCAGCGAAACTTCGGTTTAATAATTTACTTATTATTTTCACCGATTTTTAATATTTTAAATACCCTCGTCTCTTATTTATTATTCTATATCTATCACATAATTATTAAGCACGATTGACTAATTAAGTACGTATATTAATTTTCGTCGGGACGACAAATTTTTCAAATATATATTCTCTCATTAATTACCGATATTAAATCTCGATATGTGTAACAAACACTTACAGTGCCGATTACTGAAATTAATATTCTCGATATATTTCACGTGTCGTGTTGCATACGTTATTTTATAATTTACTCGCTTTATAATTTCCTTCGAAATTTTTCTAACGAGAAACGGCCAACCGTTTTACCTGGAAATGTAATCCTCTATCTGCGATCCTGCGATCGGCATCATAGGAATCGGTTCGGTGGTCGACAACCAGTAAGAACGATCGCTACGGCTGGCATAGTTGCAAGTGTTGCTGGTGTCGCAGAAGAGGAACGGCATTGTCGAGAACTTTCGTACGCACGAGCCGGCGTAACCTGTTTCGTGATTATATTTATGACGATGGGTTTACACCGAACGTTCGACCACCACCATTTCGACTAATTCGTGCCGATTCAACACTGAGTGCCACGTTCCCCAATTTCAGGAGACGCGCAAATTACTGCAGGAGCCCTGTCCTCCAATTCCGGAAGACGATTTACTCAAATAGAAACAATTACAAATTAAGACTCCATTACTTCGATTTATTTCGATTTCAATATATTTCATTTGTTCAACAAAGTTCTACTTATATGTACAAGTAGAAGCCTTTGGCACTAGAAGTGTTGAAGAATATGAATTAGTCGAAGTAGAAGGTGGACGAGTTATTCGTTCGTTGTGTGATCGACGAGTAGAAACTTCGATACTTGCCTAGATCTTGCGAGTGTGATCTTTCATTGCCATCCGTGGATAACATGCTGTAACCCTCCCACAATTTGATGTGACCTGCGTTGCAAAGTGGCACTTCAGAGGTTTGACTGTGTTTCACCAACAATATACCGGTGAGATAGTCAGACGCAAGTTGGCACGGTTGGCCTGGCTCTCCCGGCAGACCTGGGACACCCACGGGTCCTTGAAGGCCTGGCAGGC